ATTTTCTGTAAGCTACTACGTTTTGACATCTTAAAAACAACAATAACAAAAATGCTTTCTGGATGGGGAGGGACTGCCCCCCCCCCTCCCCCAAGGTTGAGTCAATTCTTAGGGATAAGGTAGGACCCAGCCAGGACCAGATCTTGAATATGCAAACTAACCTGTCCAGAGTCACAGGTCCTCTGCTCCCTGGCCCTTGTGCCCCAGGAGATAAGATTCCTCTGCCTTGATCATCCCACGGCCAGGTGCTGGGTATCTAGGGGCCATCCCCAGAGCTGGCTCCCAGAATTATTCAAACTAGCCAGTCCTAAGCTGTTCACCCTGCTGTGTGTATTGCCTTTACCACAAAAGGCTCAAACCTGTCTGTTGCTTCTGCTTCCTGACCAAAACCTGTGACCTTCCTGTGGCCCAGAATGACAAGCCATGTCTTTTGTTTCTAAGAAGACTGTAACATTAACATTTTCTTTCAATGACATTGACTTGTCCGGGTTGTCATTCATTCCTCTTTATAAATTAAGACCTGGGCACAAAACAGGTTTGTCCTGTGATACACTGGTCCGTGAAACATCCTGTGGTGGTGGTGGTGGGGGGGAATCAGATTTGTGGCCAAATGAATTCGGGCTATGTTATAGAAGATCTCCCCTTTTCAGAGATTTATTTTTAATTAAAATTATTAAAAAATAATGGTGGTACAACTTACATACAGCAAAATACACACGTCTTAACCCGTATGGCTCAGTGAAATTTTACATATGTCTACACCCATGTAAACCACTACCCAGATCAAGAATAAAAGCAGCTTTCCAGAAGGGTCCTCGTGCCCTCTCCTGGTTAATAATCCCTCCATCAAAGGTAATGACTATTCTGGCTTCTATCATCACCGATATATTTTGCCTGGTTTTGAGCTTCTTAATCAGTGGAATCATTCAGAATATAACTTTCACGTCTGGCTCTTTTCATTCAGCATAATGTCTATCAGATTAATACATAGTGGGTATATCAGAAGTTTGTATTTTTTAATGGCCGTGTCACATTTGATTGGCCCATTCTGCTGTCCAAAGAAATTTTTAATTTACGTTTGTGCCTTTATCAATGTATTGTGTCTTGTCTCCATGTTCATTCTTTTTTTGACTACTTGGTGAAAATGACTCTGGGCCCACAGTGACTTCTGTGCTGTCAGTGGGCTAGGCTGTGCCCTTGTCATGGAGGTCTGCATCTCGGGGCCGGGTTGGGGGACTGTCCTCAGGGTTTCTCCTCTGCTACGGGCAGTTCTGCTCCTTATATCTGCTGTTCCTGTGTTTTTAGAGATCTCTTTACTTCTTTTTTTAAATTTTTTTGATTAAAAAATTTTTAATGTTTATTTTTTGAGAGAGAGAGAGAGTTGGAGAGGGGCAGGGAGAGAGGGAGACAGAATCCGAAGCAGGCTCCAGGCTCTGAGCTGTCAGCACAGAGACCGATGTGGGACTCAAACTCACAAACCGGAGATCATGACCTGAGCCAAAGTCGGATGCTCCAACCGGCTGAGCCACCCAGGCGCCCCAGAGATCTCTGCTTCTTGCTAATCTCTCGTCACTCACACCCCTTGTTATAGGAACAATTCTTTATGTTAAACTTTCCCTTTGGATTACTGTGTGGCTTCTCTCTCCTGTTTGGACCCAGATGGATATCACAGGTTTTGGCACTAACGGGCAGCAACGTGTTCCGTGCGTTCTTGGCCATGCCCCATTTCTGTTGTGTCTGAGCTCAGGAGTTGTTTGCTGGGTCATGGCGTCCAGCTTTCCCTGCCGTAGATGCTGCCAGACGATTACGGCTTTCCGAAGTGTTTGTATTAATTTACACGCCCATTTCCTTTTAGTCATCCTCATGGGTGGCTGTGGTACTTGTGGTTTCATTTGCATTTCCCTAATGACTAATGATGTACTTCCTTGGGTTTTGGCCATTTGGATAATCTTCTTTTGTGAAATACCTGTTCACAATTCATTTTTTTTTTTTAATTGTGGGGTTTTTTTGGTTTGTTTTTGTGGTATTCTTGTTGATTCATAGCAGTTCTTGACAGAGTCTAGATAATAGTCCTTTGTCACATCAATGTATGGCAGATATGTTCTCCCATTCTGTGGCTTGCTTTTGAACTCTCTTGATGGGATCTTTTTTTTTTATGGTATCTCTTGAAGTTCCATTCATCACCCCTTTCCTTTTAGATCGAGGAGGTCCTCTCCTTCCTGCCCCCCCCGCGCCCCCACTCCCGCCCCAGCCCAGTCCATTAAACTTGATTTTGCAGATGTTTTCCTGCCCTTGGAGATGGATTTCCATTCCGTTTGTCTTCAGGCCCTGTAGCCTTAGGTCAGGAGTTTTACCCACCTGGCCTGGGAAGGGACCCTCCACATGACTGTCCGTTAAGATGCTGACTCCTGGGCTCCCTGCAGACAGCCTTTCCCTGCCCTAAAGGCCCTTGATGTGCTGTTACTTGCTTATTCCCTTGTAATTTGAACGTGCCCAGGGTCTAACCTGTGCACAGCCCTGTACAGTATTAGGAGGGCACACCCCTGGCCCTCTGGGCACGCCGACCCAGGAGGAACACAGCTGCCCCAGCCTGGAGCTGTAGTGATAACTACGGAGGAGCCCGTGGAGGGCAGGAGGCAGAGAAGGGAGGGAGGGACCTGCCGCCTTCTGGCTTGCCTTGATCTATAATTCATGCACGATACTGATCTACTCCAGTTCCCAGGCTCTGTGTCCGTGTCTGTAGTGCTCATAGGTTGAAAGAGCAGAGCCAGGGACCCAGAATCTGCTAAATAAACTGCTGTTCCGTTACTGACTGGACAGCTGGGCCACGCAGACTGGTCCCGGTGGGTTTTGAAGGTGGGGCTTCCACAGCAGAGCAGTTGTTTGTTCTTGGCTCTGTCTGTGGAGCTGCTTTATGCTAAGGGTTCCCTCCTCTCAGCCAGACTGTGAGGGGCAGAACCTGGGGGATATGTATTTCCTTTGCTTGAAACGTGGTGTTCCAGGCTCTGTTACTTATTGATGCTGGGTGCCCTCCGGTGGAAGGTTGGATTCAGGGTTCTTTCCTTTTCTTTCTTTTTTTAAAAAAATTTTAATGTGTATTTATTTTTGAGAGAGAGACAGAGTACAAGCAGGGGAAGGGGAAGGGGGAGAGAGAGAGGGAGACACGGAATTTGAAGCAGGCTCCAGGCTCCGAGCTGTCAGCACAGAGCCCGACACGGGGCTCGGGGCTCAACTCACGAACCACGAGATCATGACCTGAGCTGAAGTCAGATGCTCAACCGACTGAGCCACCCAGGCGCCCTGGTCCTTTCATCATTCCACTCAGGTGCTTTTTTTGTCTTGCTTCCTGCTTTTTTTGTCTCTTTGCAGACAGGAGCACTGAGTTGAGAATAGATGGATTTCTTCCTTGTGTTAAATTCTGTAAGCCTCAGCCACAGACTCTTACGTAGTAGGTCAGTTTTCAGCATGAGGAATTGGACCCAAACTGACTTGTGAGTCCACCGCGTCCCCTTACTGAGCTCCCGGTGCTGTCCTAGTGCATCAGGCCCAGCAGGCTTCTTGGGTATTTGCATGCTGTTATTGTTGTCGACAGGTGAACCAGGCGGCAGAGTTTGTCTTGATCACACCCACTTTGCAGATAAGAAAAGTGAGGCTGGAGTGGGGGGGGGGGCCCAAATGCTTCTCAAGGTCACCCGGGTAGGTGGTAATGTGGTTCCGTCTGGCACAGCCGATGTAATGGGGAGGGGCTGCTGGCGAGGCATGACTGATTTGAATGGCGCTATTCTTTTTGTCTTTTCCTCATAGTGACTCTCGAGGATGAGAATCCGCATTTTGGACAAACGAAGTGAGTCCGGAACCTGACAGTGCCCCTTGGCACTCACTGACAGCTCTTTGGCAAGTTGCCTCCCGGAATCTACCCCGTGGCTTAGCTTTCAAGCCAGAGGGTCCATCGGAGCCAGGAGAAAGTGAGTGATTTCCTTTCTTAATGTTACAACGTTAACACGGGTGGTCCTGGATTTGCTGACAATGACAGACACGTGTGGGCACAAGACGAAAGAATCAGGACATTGAAAGACGTCACCTAAAAAAGTAAAACCAGCACCTCTAGCAGGGACAGAACCAAGGTACGGTATCCCCCCCGCCTTCTCTGAGGTTTTGTGTTGCGAGGTGTCAGTCACCCACGGTCAACCGCTGTCCCCAAGCCGATGGTCCCCATTCTGACCTCTCATCAGAAGGTCAGCAGCAGCCTAGCACAACGTCACCCGCCTGCCTCGCTCACCTCATCACATCACACGGGCATTTTGTCACCTCCCGTCATCCCAAGGAGGGTGAGGACAGCACAGTTAGATATTGAGAGAGAGAGACCACATTCACATAACTTTTATTACAGCGTATGATTAAAACTGCTCTATTGGATTGTTCATTATTGCCGTTAATCTCTTACTGTGCCTAATTTAAAAATTAGCAAGTTATAGGAACGAGGTTCGGCACTGTGCTCAGTGTCAGGCACCTGCTGGGGGTCTTGGAAGGTAGCCTCCCGGGTAAGGCAGGGGGAGCAAAGTTGTACAGATCACAACATTGGTCTTGCTTCTTTCTGGGCGTGGTAGGATGGTGCTTGACTCCGTCAGAGAAGAATGCAGATGGTTCGTACGTTGAGACCTAGAACATGTGGTTTCCAGTCTCGCAGGTTCTCTGGCTGGATTTCGTTATGGAGTCCAGACGGGCAGAGCTAGAAGGACCCAGTGGGAGATCTGATCCCGTGTGTTAGAGGGGGAGTCTGAGAGCCCCATGGGTGAAGGGCGGGCTGGCCCGGAACGCCGTGCTCCGGCCTCACGCTCTGGAGTGGACGACCCTGTCGGGCATCCATGCTCACTGCTGACGCACGGCTCTCCACCTGTGCAACGAGACCCCGGCGTCTCTGTCTTCCCCCCGCTAAGCCTCCCGGGGCAGAGCTAAGCACGCTGTCCTCCTTTTGAGACCTAACGACTCCACTTTGCTCCTTTCAGATGGCTTTTGTGAAGATGCGACTGGTATATGTCTCGCTGGTGGTCCTGGGAGCCCTCTGTTTGTATTTTAGCATGTCCAGTCTGACTCCTTTTAAAGGCGAGCCGTTTGTTTTCAAGAAAGAAAGAGGGAGCTTCCTTCAGCTCCCAGATATCAACTGCAGGCAGGACCCCCCTTTCCTTGTCCTGCTGGTGACCTCCTCCCACGAACAGTTGTTTGCTCGCACGGTCATCCGGAACACGTGGGGGAAAGAAAAGAACGTGAGTGGCAAGCAAATAAAAACGTTCTTCCTCCTGGGAGCCACGGCCAACAAGGACCTGTCGAGACTGGTGGCACAGGAGAGCCAGCAGCATCGCGACATTATCCAGAAGGACTTCATGGACGCCTACTTCAACTTGACCCTGAAGACCATGATGGGCATAGAGTGGATTCACCGCTTCTGTCCTCAGGCGGCTTTTGTGATGAAAACGGACTCCGACATGTTCGTCAACGTCTACTACCTGACCGAGCTGCTTCTGAAGAAAAACAGAACCACCCGGTTTTTCACCGGCTTCTTAAAACTGAACGAGTTTCCCATTAGGGACAAGCACAACAAGTGGTTTGTCAGTAAGTACGAATACCCGTGGGACAAGTACCCACCCTTCTGCTCGGGCACTGGCTACGTGTTCTCCAGCGATGTCGCGGGTCAGGTGTACAACGTCTCGGAGAGCGTCCCGTTCATTAAGCTGGAAGACGTCTTCGTGGGGCTCTGCCTCGCCAAACTGCAAATCAGTCTGGAGGAACTTCACTCCGAGCAGACCTTCTTCCCAAACGGGTTACGCTTTTCCACGTGTCGTTTTAAGAAGATCGTGGCCTGCCATTTCGTCAAGCCTCACCACATGCTGAGCTATTGGCAGGCTCTGGAAAATTCTCTGGGGGAAGAGTGCCCAGCTGAATGAGGAGAGCCTGGGGGCACCCGTGGACACACGTCAGATAGCTTTGGAAGATCTTGGGTGGCACTGCTGAGGATCGACGTGGGGGTAGGGGGGGAGCGAGGAGGGGGGACAGGCAGGGGAGGGTGATCTCCTCCACGTCTGAACCAGCACATGAACTTGAGAGAAACCGCTTGGTGCCCAAGCAATAACAGATGCCATCTCCTGAGTACCTACGCTGTTGCACTAAGCATGTGATGCACGCCCACGTCTTCCCATTTGCAGGGGCCGTCTCCACAGTGCGTCCACACTGCGTCCCCCTCTGACACACAGGAAACAGCAGCGTGCGGAGGCACAGGGCCTCGTCCCCAGGCTCCCGGCCAGTGAATGTTGGGGCAGCGATGAAAAATCCAGCACCGTCGGAACTCAGGTGCAGCCAACGACTGGGTCGGCCCCTCCGTCCCGGAGAGACGCCTGCTGCTGACGCCCTTCAGCCCCTTTGTAGAGTCCCCTCCGCCTCCGCTCCTAATCCTTGTGCTTTTAGTGCTGTCACTGGGGCGAAGCAGCGTGCCCCCAGATCCTTAATTCTCTGCGGTGGGTCCAGCTGGACCCTGAGTCCCTGTGAGCGTCTCGGCCCTCCGCTCACGGCAGAACGAGAACATCCCAGGCAAGAGCCCATCAGAAACCGCCATCCCTAGATGGAAGATTCGGCTTAGAAATGGCTGCAGAGTCGGCCTGTGGTGCAGATTCTTGGCCGCACTGCCGACCTCTCCCAGGGCGTCTGTTTGTTGCAGATGCCCCTGGTCTGTCGGGGTTCCCACGGGAGGGCAGCGGGGCGCAAGCCTCGGCCTGGGAAGGACTCTGGGAGCTTTTCTGGGAATTCAGGCGGGTTTAAGTCAAGATGTCCTCAAGGACCCCCTGGGACACCGAGCGCCGAAGGCACTCGGGTCAGGAGGGGCTGTCTTCCTGTGCCTGCTTGGCACACCCAACCCCAGCTCATCTTTGGATTTCTCAGACGGCCAAGGAACGACAGAGTTTGTGGAGGACTTCATCCTTCGACTTTTTCCTGCCTGGACGTTTGCAGGGGCCCGTTCCGCGGGCCGTGGACACCAGGCGCTGCTGTGCAGAGGGGTCTCAACTGCGTTTGGCCGCCATCGATTGCACGCAGAGTCACCTTGCTCCTGGTTGTGGGAATAACTGGTTCTTGTTTTTTACCTTATCCGATTTGACTTTACCAGCACTCAAAGCCAAGGCCCCACGTGGCCGTGTAACTCACAATCGTTGGACTAAGCTCCTACCCGAACTCAGAAGAGGTATTTGCCGCAAAACGGCCGTGGCGATGTTAGCTTGCAGGTCGAGGTGTGGCATCCTAGTTTGCAACCGCATTTGTTGTATCTGGACGAGTCGTTGCTTCGCAGATGTGTTTCCTTACCTGGCTGATCTGAGCGTGCTGGGTCGTGTTCGGAAAACGCTCCTTCCCAGGTGGGAAAATCGGGGACTGAGCTCATTTTTTTGAAGCCCGGATTTTGCCAGGGCCTGGGTCCTGCAGAATGGGTTGCCCCTGATTCGGAAGGTGATGGTGGGTGGGTGTTGAGGGTGAAGCAGTTCGTCTGGCGGTAGGGCTGGGTTTGTGCCCAGATGTCCACCTTGTCTGGTGTGCATGACCGTGTGGCCCCTGGGCTAGGTGGGTGAGGTGTGGCTGACTCAGGATCTGGACTTCTCTGCATCAGCCTGCAGCTCAGCCATGGTGGCCGTGAGCACAGGTGTGGCTGTGTTACCCAAGTCGTATTCTTGGGCCCAACAATGATAGAAATGAGGCCGGACCCAAAAGTCAAAGGCACGGGAAACAGCTTGAGCTGAAGGAGACACAGCACCAAGAGAGCGGTTATGCTGGCCTCCCTGCACAAAGGGGAGGCCCTGCTTATATAGAGAAAGATCCCCCCCAGTGTTCCCACTCCAGTCCCTTACGCTACTAAGGGACAGAAAAGTGCCTCGTCTTGATTGGTCGATACTGGCAGGCCACCCGGTAGCTGGTGTTTTCGGACCCAGGGTCTTTCGGGTTTCCAGAGCTTCTGGTTTGCTCCTGGGTTGACAGGATATGGCCGAAGCTGTTGTTTTTAGTCTTGCTTGGGTGGGGTCGTCTCCTGGTTCTGCTCTGAGAGAGAAGCAGCTTAGTAATAACAGCCGACAAGAATGCCCCAGGTGCATAGCGTTTTTCATTTGGGGCTTGGTCCTATGGTCCCTGATGGTCTTCTGTCCCTCCTGAGAGATTTTATCCTCCTCTTTTTTTTTTTTATATTTTTAACTTTTAAAATTTATTCTTGAGAGAGAGAGGCAGAGCAAGACAGAGCATGAACAGGGGAGGAGCAGAGACAGAAGGAGACACAGAATCCGAAGCAGGCTCCAGGCTCTGAGCTGTCAGCACAGAGCCCAATGCGGAGCTTGAACCCACGAACCGTGAGATCATGACCTGAGCTGAAGTCAGATGCTTAATCGACTGAGCCCCCCAGGTGCCCCTCATCCTCCTTATTCTTTTTAAAAAAAAATTTTTTTTTCAACGTTTATTTATTTTTGGGACAGAGAGAGACAGAGCATGAACGGGGGAGGGGCAGAGAGAGAGGGAGACACAGAATCGGAAACAGGCTCCAGGCTCTGAGCCATCAGCCCAGAGCCTGACGCGGGGCTCGAACTCACGGACCGCGAGATCGTGACCTGGCTGAAGTCGGACGCTTAACCGACTGCGCCACCCAGGCGCCCCATCATCCTTATTCTTAAGGGGAACATGGATCGAGTTCTCAATCTTCTTCTTTTTTTAAAAAAAAATTTTAATGTTTTACTTATTTTTGAGAGAGAGACAGGGTGTGAACAGGGGAGGGACAGAGAGAGAGGGATACACAGAATCTGAAGCAGGCTCCAGACTCCAAGCTGTCAGCAAAGAGCCTGACACGGGTCTCGAACCCGTGAACCTTGAGATCGTGACCTGAACCGAAGCCTGACGCTCAACCAACTGAGCCACCCAGGCACCCCTCAATCTTTTTTATCTACTTCCTGCTCATCAAGGGCAGAGACCCCACCTATCACTGGAGGTCATGGAAATATCTTGCTATCTGATCTAACACTGATATGGAAACATGGTCCCCAGTCGGTATGGACTTGAATCCCCATGCGAGCATCAGCTTGTTGTAGTCTGGAGGACGCACATTGGACAAATGAATTAAAGAGGCGTGGCCCAAATATAAGCAGCAGTAAAATAGCCCAAGGAGAGGCAAGAGACAGGTAACACTTGGCAGGTGGAGCCCCAGATGGCTTGAGCCTGGGGTTCTTAAAATGATGTAGCCAAGAGGCCAGATGGAGGGTGATGTTAACCCTTTGTTCCCCGTCTCTGAAAACAGTGTAGAATGTTGAATGTAGAATGTAGAACATTGATGTAGAAACATCAGGATGTATTTGCAATAGCACATTTCTCCGCTTGTTCAGCCAGTAAATTGTCTAAGGCTAATTGGTGCTCTAAGACCATGGAAGCCATTGAGTCTGATGATGTTTAGATAAGTATAAAATCCTGTCGGGTTCCAGCCACCACTGCGGACACAGTGGCTGTGACATTTTGTGTGACCGCACTGCTTCAAATTAGTCCCCCGGCTAGTCCTGTCACGAGTCTCACCAAGGTGACTGTTCCAGCAATCAGCAGTCCTACAGCTCGCCTGGACTTCGTGGTGAGAGCTGAGTGTCATTAGGGTTATTGGAGAATATTTTAATATTTTCAGGGCGAGGTGCGACACATCCCACGGCTCAGTCACTGCTAGTATTATTGGTATCGTGACATTGAAGTGGCGTCCCCTTCCGATCCATTCCTAGGAACACCGTTCCTTTAGCCAGACACAGCAGCCTTGGGGAGGGATCGGTGGGGACTGAGGGGTGAGTGGCTGTGAGGCACCCACAGGGAGTTCTTGTCATCATCTGGGTCGCCATCACCAGGGGTCCAGGGCATCTGTGGCCTTGTGTGACAGTCCGGGTAACTGTGCCACCAGAGCCATATCTCCTGGATCTTATCTCCAGGGCCGTGTTTGAGTTGGGGGTCGTATTTCTGCACATAAAGGGGGTCAGGGCTAGGGGTGGGGTGGGGTTAAGTGCACCTTTTGGTGAGCATAAAATGGGTGCTAAGTAGGCCGGCTCCGTGGACAGTCAGAGTATAGATGGAGGGCCTATGAGGATCTCAAGAGGTGTCATGTGGGGACAACCTGGGATCTACCTTGGTACATCAGGTTATGGCTGAGGGATTAAAGCATTTTGTTGTCATCAGGTCAGCGGGCATCAGGTGGGTGTGGAGGACTGGGTTTGTGTGAGATTTACCGGTTCTGTAAACGGGGTGGGTTTGGACCCAGGACCACTGTGCGGGGTAGACCCCCCTCTCCCCCAAACATCTTTATGTGCCTCTCCATGGACCTGTTGGTGACATACCCAGCAGTGGGATAAATTTCTGGTGTGGTCTGAGACCATGGTTTTAGTAATTTGGAAGAAAGAATTTTCTTCCCATTTTCCCACGTTTTGCTTACACCGTATTACTATTAACAAAGACCTAAAGCACCAGGACCAGAAGGGACGTGGTTAGTTGTTGTTGTTGTTGCTGTTGTTACTGTGAATCCTAGCAAGGACACAACAGACCCAGAACCACCCCAGGAAATGTGAGACTAGAAGGGACCCTCTCCCCAGCAGGGGCGAGCACTGGAGAAACTCAGCAGGGGCGCGTTAAATCCTTGTGAGCCGGACCCAGCTGGGTATTCCTTCAGCCCTGCAGCAGAGGGAGTGGCCAGGACTACCCGGTAGGGTCCTTCCCATCTGGATTGGAGTTGGTCTGACAAGATTTTATTGCCACATTCCCGTCTGGCCTCTTGAGTCTTGGCTTCGGTTAACCTGAGAATGAAATAGCCCCCGCCCCACTCCCCCAACCACCTGTTGCTTGGGAGGGACTTGGGCAGCGCCAACTAGCCCCAGTAGCCTTTTCTGTCCTCGAACAGAAAGCCTCTCCC